TCCAGAGTCTCATAACAGTTTACCCAAAATGTCTAGGATACAATAAAAAAATCACTTGCTACACCAAGAACTAGGAAAATCTCAATTTGAATGAGAGAAGATGACCAACAAACACCAACACCGAGATAACACAGATGTTGGAATTATTTGACAAGGATTTTAAAGCAGCGGTGGTAGGCAGAATAATCCCCCTGCCCCACGACGACCATGTCCCCAGAAGCTACGACTGCATTATATAACATGGCAAAGGGGATTAAGGTTGCAGGTAGAATTAAGGTTGCTGCTCAGCAGACAGGGAGATGATCCTGGATTGTCTGGGTGGGCCCAGTGTCATCAGAAGGGTCCTTATAAGTGGAAGAGAAAGGCAAAAGCCCAGAGTTAAGAGAAAGAGATGTGAGGAATCGGGCTCAGAGAGATGCTGTTTCTGGCTTTGAAGATGGAGGAATGGAGGTGGCCTCTAGAAGCTGCAAAAGGCAAGGAAATGGAAAATGGATTCTCTTCCACAGTCTCCAAAAAGAGCACCGTGACTCTCGATAGTTTTTTTCTTTCTTCCCATTTTTTTTTTTTTTTGAGATGGAGTCTCGCATTGTTGCCTGGGCTGGAGTACAGTGCGCAATCTCGGCTCACTGCAATCTTCGCCTTCTGGGTTCATGTGATTCTCTTGCCTCGCCCTCCCAAGTAGCTGGGATTACAGGTGCCAGCCACCACATCAGGCTAATTATTTTTATTTTTATTTTTAGTAGAGATGAGGTTTTACTATGTTGGCCAGGCTGGTCTCAAACTCCTGATCTTGTGATCTGCCCACCTCAGCCTCCCAAAGTGTTGGGATTACAGGCGTGAGCCACTGTGCCTGGCTGGATAGTTATTTCTTAATCTTGACCACAGGTTCTCAGTGATACCTGAGTCTGACTTCTAAACTAGAAACTGTAAGATTATAATTTGTGTTATTTTAAGCCACTAGGTTTGTGGTACTTTGTTACAGCAATGATAGAAAATGACTATAGTATCTACCATAAAATGCCTTTGGCAAGCAATTATGAACAAATACACTTTGAAAAAGTGAAAAAATAGAAAGTTTCAGTAAAGAAACAGCAGGTATGAAGAAGAACCAAATGGAAACTTTAGAACTGAAAAACAGGATAACCAGAACTAAAAACTCTCTGGATGGGCTCAACAGGAGAATGGGGACAAAAGAGGAAAGAATCAGTGAACTTGAATATGAACAATAATAATGGAATTACTCAATGTGAGCAACAGAGCTCTAGAAAAACAAAAAGCAAAATGAACAGAGCCTTGGAGATCTATGAGGCTATAACAAAGATTTTAAAAAATGAACAAAGATAGCATTTATATTTGGCCAAAGACACAAACCTACAGACTTTCAAGAAGCTGAGCTACCCTCAAGCAGGAGAAGCCCAAAGAAATCCATACAATGACACATCACAGTTAAATTCCTGAAAACTAAAGACAAAGCAAATATCTTTCTGTTATGACAGAGTCTCACTTTGTCACCCAGGCTGGGGTGTAGTGGTACAATCAGAGCTCACTGCAGCTTTGACTTCTTGGGCTCAAGCAATCCTCCTGCCTCAGCCTCCTAAGTAGCTGGGACTACAGGTATGAGCCACCACGCCTGGCTATTAAAAATTTTTTTTTCGCGCGGTGGCTCAAGCCTGTAATCCCAGCACTTTGGGAGGCCGAGGCGGGTGGATCACGAGGTCTAGAGATCGAGACCATCCTGGTCAACATGGTGAAACCCCATCTCTACTAAAAATACAAAAAATTAGCTGGGCATGGTGGTGTGTGCCTGTAATCCCAGCTACTCAGGAGGCTGAGGCAGGAGAATTGCCTGAACCCAGGAGGCGAAGGTTGCGGTGAGCCCAGATCGCGCCATTGCACTCCAGCCTGGGTAACAAAGAGCGAAACTCCGTCTCAAAAAAAAAAAAAAAAAAAAAAATTTTTTTCTGGTGGCAGTGGCTCACGCCTGTAATCCCAGCACTTTGGGAGGCCAAGATGGGCGGATCACCTGAGGATCAGGAGTTCAAGACCAGCCTGGCCAACATGGTGATACCCCATGTCTATATAAAAATAAAAAGAAAAAAAATTTTTTTTTCTGACCAGGCATGGTGGCTCACACCTGTACTCCCAGCACTTTGGGAGGCTGAGGATCCCTTGAGGTCAGGAGTTTGAGACCAGCCTGGTCAACACGGTGAAACCCCATCTCTACTAAAGATATAAAAATTAGTCAGGTGTGGTGGTGGGTGCCTGTAATCCCAGCTACTTGGAAGGCTGAGGCAGGAGAATCACTTGACTGGGGAGGTGGAGGTTGCAGCAAGCTGAGATTGTGCCATTGCCCTCCAGCCTGGGCAATAGAGAGAGACTCCATCTCAAAAAAAAAAAAATTTTTTTTTTTTTTAGAGATAGGGTCTCACAATGTTGCCCAGGTTGTTCTTGAACTCCTTGTCTCAAGCAATCCTCCTGCCTCAGCCATCCAAAGTGCTGGGATTACAGGTGTGAGCCACCATGCCTGGCACAGAAAAGATTTTGAAAGCAGAAAGAGAAGATGAATTCCTTACTTACAAGAAAGAGATCATTCAAATAACAGTGGATTTCTCATTGGAAACTATGCAGGCCAGAAGGAAGTAGCACATTTTCTTTTTTTTTTTGAGACAGAGTCTTACTCTGTCGCCCAGGCTGAAGTGCAGTAGTGCAATCTTGGGTTCAACTTCCACCACCCAGGTTCGAGCGATTCTCCTGCCTCAGTCTCCAGAGTAGCCGGGATTACAGGTGCATGCCACCACACTCAGCTCATTTTTGTATTTTTAGTAGAGATGGGTTTTCACCATGTTGGCCAGACTGGTCTCGAACTCCTGACCTCAAGTGATCCACCTGCCTTGGCCTTCCAAAGTGTTGGAATTACAGGTGTGAGCCACCATGCCTGGCCTTATTAAAGTTTCCTTTCAAAATGAAGACATTTTCCTATTCCATACAAATATAATTTGGTATGGTTTTGAAAAAAAACAGAACAATCCAAAAACTGGTGAAGTCATTGTTTCACTCAGAAAGTAAAATAATATGATAAACTTTTCATAAATTTTTTTAAAAAGAGGAAAAAAACCCAAACAAGCCGGATTCTAAGTCACAGCACTCTAGTGTTTTCCGTATCATTTAATGTTTATAGTGGCCTAAAAAGGCCACAAAGTGATCTTTTCTCCTGTCACTTTCGTCTCTACCTTAGCCACACTCTGCCTATTTTTCTTTTCTTTTTTGAGACAGAGTCTCCTGTCACCTAGGCCAAAGTGTAGTGGCACAATCTCTGCTCACGGCAACCTCTGCCTCCCGGGTTCAAGCAATTCTCCCACCTCAGCCTCCCGAGTAGCTGGGACTACAGGTGCACACCATCACGCCTAGCTAATTTTTGTATTTTTAGTAGAGACAAGGTTTCACCATACTGGCCAAGCTGGTCTCGAACTCCTGACTTCGTGATCCATCCACCTTGGCCTCCCAAAGTGCTGGGCAAGTTGTGAGCCACTGCGCTTGGCCCTAATTTTTGTATTTTTAGTAGAGATGGGGTTTCACCATGTTGGCCAGGCTGGTCTTGAACTCCAGACCTCAAGTGATTTACCTTCCTCAGTCTCCCAAAGTGCTGGGATTACAGGCGTGAGCTACGGCACCTGACCTACTCTCACTATTTTTCAAGCAGAGCAAGCAAGCGCCCCCTCCTGGAATGCTCCCACGAGATCTTCCCCCTCTTAGCACTGGACGAGGACGATCTGGCTTCTCACTCTAGTCCTGGAATCAGAGGCATGAAAAAGATGAGCTACTCCTCCCTCTTACCCTGAAAGCCCAGGTCCTCCCAGTGGTCTCCCTGGAGGGCGCAGTCAAACTTGGAGCCAGTCAGCTTCTTATAGATGGTCTGGAGGACTCGGCCATGCACTGGGTCTTGACTATCCAGGCCACCTGCCCCAAAACACACCCACACTCTGCCAGATTGCCCCTCAGGGGAGGACTGGGTGCTTTCCAGAGAATGTGAGATCTGGACTGAGCTCAAGACACCCCGTTCTCAGCTCCCACTCTCACCCACCAACCATGGTACATTCAAGATTCCTGGTTTAGCCTCAGCAAGAGGGTCAGCAAACAGGGTCTTGCCTGACCATATATGCAGCAACTGCCCTGTGGGCTCACACTGCACTCACACTGAGCAATGGTCAGGACCAAGTCCCTTTCTTCCCGAAGGCCCTGGTGGAGCTTTGGAGGCCCGAAGAGGTAGTGTCGGAGGGCGGACAGCCCAGTCCTTCGAATAGTTGGCTGGATTCTTTTCTGGAGAAGAAATTGCAGGCAATCAGGCTCAGACCAGGGGCAGTGCTTGCAGAAAGTAATTCCCCTATCTGGCTGGTCTTCGGGCCAGGAAAAGGAGGCAAAAGCTTCGAGGCACCTGTTGAGTCTCTAGAGCCAGGCTCTTCCAGCTCCCAGATTTTTTACAAGGTGAAAGAGACACCCCCAAGCTAGGTATTATCAGTTATTATTTGCATTTAGTCTTCTGGGCTTCTGCAGAACTAGCTATTCCACTGACTCCCACAGGCTTACACATCCCCAGCTCCCCCAGTCAGTCAGACAAATGCCAGGACAGGTTTCCCAGGAGCTGGGGACTCACTGGAGTTAGATGAATCTGAGAGGTAGCTGGAATCTTTTGGTCACAACCAGCACTTCCTAATGAGGTCATGCTGGCTTCTCATGGCTCAAGGTCACTACTGCAGGCCTTAGAATATTCTGATTTAGGTAGCTTTTGGCTCCCTGTGTCCTATAAAACAACCTGGTTCCTATCTTTTTAGCTCTCTCCCTTAAGCCAGGTTTTAGGTTGAAGACCTGAAATCACATTTCTCTAAACATATTACTTGTCACACAATATGTCCCAGAAAGCTCCCCAGCTTTTTTTCTTTTTTATAGAGACAGGGTCTCACTCTGTTGCCCAGGTGTGATCATAGCTTATTGCAGCCTTGAACTCCTGGGTTCAAGTGATCCCCTCACCTCAGTCTCCTCTGAAAGTGCTGGTATTACAGGTGTGAGCCACTATGCCCAGCCTCCACCCCACCCCAGCATTTATTCCCCCAATTATCCTTCTTTTTCCAACTTATATCATTCTTAAATTCCTAAATACCTTCTGGTTCCTTGAGGGAATGGAAGACTTTCCTGGCCATGAATTACTCAGCTCCCTGAACAGTTTGCGTTGCCTCTGCAAGGAGCTACCTAGTACTTGATTCTAGATGTCCCTATCCCTAAAAGGGAAGAGTAGAGAAACAGCTATACAGGCCCCTGAATGACAGGGCCACAGAAGCTCTAAGGGCATAGTCCCACAAAAGCTACCAAGGCCCCACATGAAGCATGAGTCCTAGGCACCCACGATCCTGGACACCAAGATCTTGGGGGAGATAGGGCCCTCAGCTGGAGGCTTCCATCTCGCTTGCCCAGTGCCCTATCCTGGTGGGATAGAAGCTTGGCTCCTAGGGAAAAGGCAGTTTGCTTGAGACCCCAAACCCCACTACCATCATACCTTGAAGGAGGAAAGGTCCATAGTCTGGAAGTGCTGCAGGGCCTCAGTGAAGGAGATTAGCTGCCCAGGCTGTTCCGAGTTGGCCAGGCTCCCTGTGGCAAAAGGGAAGACATGCTAGGATTTATAGGAATCATTCTGTCGGAAAACATTTACTGAGAGCCCCCCACTTGACACCTCCAAGCCAAGCACTGGCTTCCAGTTGAATATCAGACACCTATAGCTACAATCTTCTTTCAAGAGGCTGGCATTATCTGCAAGGCTGACTCTGTTTTTGGACTAGCCTACTCAGTCTTGCTAGGCCAGCCTCTGTGATGAGTATGGGACGGATCTGTCCCACAAAGAGATCCCTAAATTCTTTTATCTGTGAGGAGGCAAGTCATTGCCTGGGGTGGGTACCCACATAAGAGCACACAACCAGTTTAGGGGCCTTTCCTAATTTCCACTCTTCCCTTCTCACACCCTGTATAGGAACCCCCAACCACACACCTCTGTTACAGACCATAGGGAATTAACTGATCAGTTAGCAACTTAGGTGATGGCTGATACTATTCACTGCGCTCCAGGAGCTCGAGAGAGGCTCAGGCTAGGTATAGGTCCTAGTTCTATCCTCCTGTAGCTTCATCCAAACCTCTCAGAAACAGGAGACAATTCAGCTCCCATCCCCAGGGACCTCCTTGTGCAGTAAACAACCTGAGCAGCCTTACACAGGGGCTCTGTCTCCATCCTCCTGCCCAACCTCACCACTCTTTAGAAGCTGCCCTAACCAAGGTCAACCCTGTCTTCTCTCAGAGTTGGGTGGAAGATGGACAGGGATGGTAGCCCTTTCTCCATGGCCTTCACTCTGGTTTCCTCCAGAGGTAGGATGTCATCATCTTAGGATTTGAAAGAGATTGTAACCTATGTTATATAGTTAAAATGAGCACTCTCAATAATTCTATCTCCTAGTCCCAGAGTCACAGAAACATTTGTCACACGTGTGGATGGTGCCTTTGCTGGCAGAGGGGCAGTGGGGAGACAGCAGCATTCCTGCAGTTACCCGTCTCCGGCTGGATGGTGTCCACAGCTTCCCATTCTTCTTGGGCTCTGACCACCTCTGTACTCACAACTGCAATAGTGAGAAAAGGAGACCCTCTGAGATTTAGGTATGCATGGGCCTCTACTGCAGACCTCAGCCTTGTATGCGTTACCTTGGGCCTTTTTTTGTTTTAAGAGACGGGGTCTCGCTATGTTACCCAGGTTGGAGTTCAATGGCTGTTCACAGGCATGATCTCACCATTGATCAGCACAGGATTTTTGAACTGCTCCATTTCTGACCTGGGCAAGTTCACTCTTCCTTAGGCAATCTGGTGGTCCCCCACTCCCGGGAGGTCCCCATATTGATGGCATAGCACCACTCAATTGGCATAGCATACCACAGCCCAGAACTCCTGGACTCAAGCGATCCTCTTGCCTCAGCCTCCTGAGTACCTTGGACTACAGGCAGGCACTACCACATCTGGCTGCCTTGGGTCTTAACACTCTCTGATCCTCTCCTCATAGGCTTGCCAGAGTGAGCTTTTGAAAAGATCTGACATCACCCACTTGCTCAAAACCCTCCAGGGGTTCTCTATAGTACTCAAGAAAAAAAATTCACACTCTACAGCACAGTATCCACATAACTTCACAATCTACAGATGGTTCCCCTACTTGTAACAGCTCCACTTACAATTGTTTGACTTTTTGATGGATTTATCAGGGTGTTACATGCATTTTTCTTTTCTTTTTGTTTTTTTTAAAGACTAGTAAGGTGAAGCAGTGGGAGTGGAGAAGGAACAAAGAAATCTGTAACTGGTTGTCATCAATTCATTGTAAACCTCACTCTACTGGGACCAGCCTTAAATGCACTTTCGTTTCTGTTTTTTAGTTTTGCCTAATAAAGCAGCACTTTCGACTTATATTTTTTACTTCCAATGGGTTTACTGGGATGGAAGTTCATTGTAACTCAAGGAACATTTGTAGATCCTTCTTACCTCTCCAGTTTGCCCCAGGGCCATCCAGAACTACCTGAACTTCCTCCACGCTCTGCCCTCTCCAACCCTCGGTGCCTTTTCACAGACTGCTCTCCCTCTGCTGGAATCAACTCCAGGTACTGCCACCTTCAGTTCCAACCCCTCCTGGCGCAGCTCCTTCTCATTCTTCAGTGAGCTCTGACACTATCCTCGCCTGGATGCCTTCCTTGACCTCATCGGTCTGGATGAGGAGCCACTGTTCTGTGAGACCCTGACAACCAGGGCTTATCACAGCGTAGTTATTGTTTCTCCTACTCCACGGTGAGCTATGTGAGGGCAGGTATTCCAGAGCCTAGCACAGAGCTTGACACATGATAGGTGCTCAAGGAATATTTGATGGATGAATGGATGGATGGATGAACGAATGAATGAATGAAAGCACAATACAAGGTAAAGCAAGCAAGAAAGAAAAAGCAAGCAAGCAAGCACAACACAAGGGAGAGAAAAAAAGCAGAAGGATGGGCTTTCTAGAGTCTCCACCCAATCCTTTTCTCCAAACCAGACCTGTCATTCTCTGGCTCAAGCTACTAGTGGCATCTTCTGTCACTGACTTTTCCAGGTTGCTACAGAGAACATCAACAATGTGAAGGATGGAGAGGCTTTAGTTTAATATCAAAAATATGATCTCTCCAGCCTCAGTAGTAAAGTAGGTTAGGACAGCTCTTCTCTGCCTCACAATCTTGGCTGAGAACATCATATGACAATAAACTGTTGGAAGACTATACCTGCAGATTAAATGAAATGCTACCAGACACTAATGGATAATGAGGAAGAAAACACGGCTGGGAAGCAGCAGAGCTGCTGAAAAGCACACTTGAGAGTCCAACTACATGTGAATGCTTCATCTTTGCCACTTACTAGCTGTATGCCATCTGTAGCCCCTCATGGGGCTGTTGTGAGGATGAGGTAATTCTTCTATTTCCTAGGAGGGCACACGGCCCACAGGGAAGCTATTATTATCAACACAGTTGTGGGCTCAGGTCCAGCAGGGCAATGGACAGTGGCAGCAGGTGAGATGGGTCTCCAGGGTCCTAAATGTCTGCACCTCTAGGAAATTCCATCTCACCAGCTCCAGTCTGGAGTAGCAGACATTGAGCCTTGGAGTTTCTAACACAACTTTAACAGAATATTCGACCTTAGATGATCAAATAAAACTTGCTTTCAGCATAGGAGCTGAAAAGGAGGGACAAAGTGGCTGAACAAAAAGGGAAGAGTAGGCTGGGCACGGTGGCTCATGTCTGTAATCCCAGCAGGGTGAGACGCTGAGGTGGACAGAACACCTAAGGTCAGGAGTTCAAGACCAGCCTGGCCAATATGGTAAAACCCTGTCTCTACTAAAAATACAAAAAAAAAAAAAAAAAAAAATTAGCTGCATGTGGTGGCAGGCACCTGTAATTCAAGCTTACTTGGGAGGCTGAGGCAAGAGAGTCACTTGAACCCAGGAGGAGGAAGTTGCAGTGAGCTGAAATTGTACCATTGCACTCCAGCCTGGGCGACAAGAGCGAGATTTGGTCTCAAAAAAAAAAAAAAAAAAAAGTAGGCGGTGGGGTTGTGGGGGGGTTGAGTGGGGAGAGAACAGCAGAAAGCAATGCTTATTATGAAGCTCAACAGAATCCTTCACCTTCTCACCTTTATGCAGTTTTACTGATTTATTGATTCTTCACCTGTCAGAGCCTTATCTACCAGCAACTTAACTAATCCCTCCCAACCCTACACACGCTCGCCTACAAACAGCTTGATCAAAGTCTGTGAGCCAAAAGCAGAAACCATGCAGTAAGGGGGTGGGAATATGCTGTCCAAACAGGTTAGTCAACAAGGTTTTCACCAGCAATAGCAAGCTGGTGCTTAAAAACTCAAGACAAATGTCAAAACCATGTAAGAGCTTCTCCTTTTTCTTTTGGAACCAGGCAGATAGATGCCTCCTACCTGTGACATAAATACTATTTTCCCCTGACCAACAGAAGAACATGGGGCTAAGGGACAAATATTTAGGATAATTAATGCAGCTCACATTAATTCGGCTCTTTATCTTTTTTCTTTTTATAATTGCCTCCTTTATTTCAGCTCTCTTCTACTTTCTCATATAGTCAAAAGCACTACCAATTGAGTCAGCTTATTAAGTAACCCTTTTTAACATTTATTTTATTTATTTGTTTTTTGTTTTTTTTGAGAAGGAGTCTCCTATTGTTGCCCAGGTTGGAGTGTGAACTGACGCCATCTCAGTTCACTACAATCTCTGCTTCCTGGGTTCAAGTGATTCTCCTGCTTCAGCCTCCTGAGTAGCTTGGATTATAGGTGGGTGCTACCACACCTGGATAATTTTTTTTTCTTTTTGGGCAGTCATCTTTGACTAAATTTTTTTATTTTTAGTAGAGACGGGGTTTCGCCATGTTGGTCAGGCTGGTCTTGAACTCCTGACCTCGTGATCTGTCCACCTCGGCATCCCAAAGTGCTGGGATTACAGGCGTGAGGCACCGCGCCCGGCCTACATTCATTTTTTACTTTATTTTTTTAGTTATCCAGGGCTATAGGCACATGCCACCATGCCTATAATCCCAGCATTCTGAGAAGCCAAGATGAGAGGATCATTTGAGCCAAGAGTTTGAGACCAGTCTGGGCAACATACTGAGACCGTCTCTACATAAAATTTTCTTTTTTATCTTTTTTCTTTCTTTTCAAGTGTCTTGCATTGGAATCCACATAAAATTTAAAAAAATTGGCTAGGCATGGTAGTGCACATAGTAGTCCCCATTGCTCAGGAGGCTCCGGTGAGAGGATTTCTGGAGCCCAGGAGTTTAAGGCTGGAGTGAACTATAATCACATCACTACACTTCAGCCTCGACAACAAAGTGAGACCCTGTCTCTAAAATA